TGTATTCTTAGCGTCGTTATACACATTCTATATATATTTATATATATATATATAATATATATATATATATATATATATATATATATAGGTAGTCCAAAATTTTTTTGACCAGTTTGGAAAAAATATGTAAATACTTTTTTTTTTGGGTGTGGTAGTCAATAAAAAATAGAGCTTTGCTAAGGCGTACTATTTATTCTGAAATCCGAGCTTTCGGTGGTTATTTGCCACCTTTATCAAGGTCTACAATGAAAATTACTGTGTTATAACATTAGGCTGATGTAATATAAAAGTTATAAAAACTTACCAGAAAGTAAGATTCATAGCATATAAAACACAACGTTAAATAACATAATGTGATCTGAATTATTGAAGGCATTAAAAATTTTAAAAACTTTAAAATAACTTAAAAATTAAAGAACATGTTACAAAGTTTAAAAAGTAAAAAATAAGACGACATGTTTGACAAAAAACAGTCGTCTTCGCAGGTTTGAATTCAGTCACATCTCACGAACAGAAAGAGGTAGTAGGAGGAACTATTGTTGTTTAAATAGTTCGATGTAACTACAAAAAACAAACTTTCAAACTGATGTCTAACAAAATGCCGTTTGTGATTTTAAGTACTACCAACCATGTTACCAACTTAGAATTGAGAGGGAAATTTAAAAAAGGTTTTATTATGTCAAAAAATAAAAAGAAAATAGTATTTAGTAAGTAGGTTTGAAAAAAACAAACAACCAAAACAAAATGAACATCTGAATAATAACTGAAGTTAATCATGATAATTATAGCAACTAATAATGGAATTTACTAAACATGAAGCACTCTGAGATACAGAAAACCCTAGTCAAAAGTCAAAATAAAATTGTAAATTTTGCTAAGATTCTGGATCTCAGATCTTTTATTCAGATTGTTGTTATCACTCCTGCTGATATGTACCATTTCTAAGAATGTTCTCTTAAATTTATTTTCTCTCTGGCTAATATATATATATATATATATATATATATATTATATATATATATATATATATATATATATATAAGGAAGCCAAAACAACAATTAAAGTCTATGAAGAAACAAAATCAATACAAATAAATGAAGGCGTGAGACAGTGTGACACAATATCACCGAAACTGTTAATCAGGCTCTGGAAGAAATTTTTCTCTAAGAGATTAGAATAGAAAAAAAAATAGGAGAGATACAAAGACGAGTTAGACTAGTATGGGCGGCATTTGGCAAACTAAGCTACATTCTTAAAAACAAAAGATATCCACAGCATCTCAAGACCAAAGTATACAATCAATGTGAACTCCCCGTTCTCACCTATGGTCCCAAACGTGGACATTTACAAAAGCAAACATAGAAAAAATCATAATAACCCAAAGAGCAATGGAAAGACAAATGTTGCACATAAGACTAATGGATAAAAAGAGAAAGACAAAAAAAAGACCGATGGAACAAAATTCTTATAAGTTGGAGACCGTGAGAATATAAACGAAGCAGAGGAAGGCCCCAAATGAGATGGGCAGATGATATCAAGAAGTACGTGGGCTCTAGGTGTATGACTGTAGTGACAGACAGAGAAGAATGGAAAAGGATTGGGGAGGCCTATGTCAAAATATGAACCGAAGAAGGCTTATTAGATAGATAGATAGAAAGTCAAGTTTAATTTTTGAAACGAAAAAGTTGTAGGTAAAGCTTTTTTGACAAACTAACAGTAATAATTAATACTGCATTCAAGTGTATATCCAGAAAATGTGTCTTGATTGCTCATTGTGATAGAGCAATGTGTCCAATACCAGTGTTATTTCTTAAAGTAAAATTAACACGAATTAAGAGTTGTTTAAAGAGATACGATTATTTGAAAACCAAAGTTTCTTCAACCATAAAGAAGAGTAAAGAACATGTAACAATAAAGCATCCTTAGGCCTTAGTTTTAGTATTGTGACCGATAAAAAACAAACTTTTAAGTTTCTCTCTCTCTTCGATCCTGACCCCCCAGGGGGAGTGTAGTGGTCGACGTGATGTCGTGTATTGTCCGTCTCCAGAGATCTCTGTCTCTGGTCATTTCTTTTAATTCATGCATAGGTCTTTGGCATATTCCTATAATTTGATCTATCCATCTTGTTGGGGATCTTCCTCGTGATCTTCGGCCTTCTACCTTTCCTTGTATTATGAGTCTTTCCATGTTTTCTGTGTTTGCTCTCATAACATGCCCAAAATATTTTAATTGTTGGAGATGGACTTTACTAGAGAGTCGTTGGCTAACTTTTAGCTCTCTTAAAATTGAATTATTTGTTCTGCGGTCGGTCCAAGGAATTCGTAACATTCGTCTCCAACAGAACATTTTAGTGGCGTCTATCTTTCTTCTCTCCGATTGTCTCAGAGTCCAAGATTCACATCCGTAGGTAGTTTTAAGTTTAAGAATAATGAAAACGCTCTTCTACATAGGATTTTTATACATTCAACAATATTTACTATCTTTTGGTCTTTCTCTTACTCTGCTAAAGACAATATTTCTGGATTTTGTTAGCGCTGGTGATATTAATAGCTTCGAAAATCAACGTCTTTAGATTTTTCCATATCTCTTTTGGATCTTTAGTAGCTACTGGTATATTACCATATGTTTGCGTTAGCATGCTTCTAAAAAATTTTGTATTTTTTGTTAAGATCTACGATAAAATAACCTGATTGAAAACTATAATAACATGGAGATTATTATATATAGAAACTTAATTAAAATTGATAATAAAAAATAATTACAAATAAACCAACATACTTTTTGATTTTAGGTTTTGCATCGTCGATTGTAGGTAAGTATTCACCATACTTTGATTATATCTGCTTGAATATTCTTGTTGTGTTTGTTATGTACAAAAGAACATTAACGAACATGTTTAAACCTAACCAGTAATGTTAAAGAACTTTTTTTTTAAACTGTCAAAAAACATGGAACAGAAATCATTTTAAAGAGAGAATAATTTGAAAAATAATAAAGACAAGTTAGTTTAAAAGCTAAAGTAAAAAATATTAAATAATATAAACTACTACAGTAGATTCCTTCTATAACGAGAACTGAAATGGCAGACTAATTACCCCGTTATAAGCCGATCTTGTTATATCAGATAACTGCATAAGACTGTGCATAAATATGAATATGTAGTTTTCTAAAACATTAACTTCCTATAAGGAAGCCATTCAAAGCAATATAAGATGCTAAATATTGTTTAAATGGCGTTTTTGAAAAAAAGTTGTTTAATTTTATTGTCAATGAAATATATTAAAACACAAAAGAGTTGTTTACTTTTATTGCCAATCATATCGTTAAAACAAAAAATCTATACTTACATTTTTTTCCAACTACATAATGTATAAAGCGTATTTTCAAGGATAACATAAACTATTGCTTCTGCAATTGGAAGAAGTCTGTCATTTTTGACTGCTTGAAATTGTCCAGTATCATTCTATCTATCATATTTTCTAAAGATGTAAAACAGTTGTATGCTTCTTTATTTGCGTTTGGTCTTTGGATATAGTTTCTTACAACGTTTAAAACATTTTCCACATCTTTTCTATTAGGACCTTCTTGCGTAGATTCACCTCGATTGTCTTCTCCATCTTCATCACTTTCGTTACCTACGATAAGGCGCCCAGCCGGCGGATTTTAAACCCACTTTAAAAGTTCTCCACTAAAAATCTCTGCTGTTATCCACGATTTTTTATTAAAGTTATATGTGACAGGAAGCTGATTTAGACCTCTAAAACATCGTGGATTTTGAGATTTCCCAATGACGACTAACTTCCTTTTTTCGGAACCGGACCTGTTGGCACACGCGAGTACAATTACCACTTCTTTTGATAACTTGCAACCTATACAACGTTCATTTTTAAATTTAAGGGTCTTATCTGGAGTAAGTTTAAAAAAATCTCAGCTCATCGGCATTGAAAACATTATCGTCACTGTAATTTTGTCTTATTGTAGGTCATGACTTCAACCAGTTGTCGGTGACTTCTTTGGAAACACTCTTCGCTTCACCGCAAATTTTTCCACACGTAATTTTGTGCCTGGCCTTAAAACTGCTCATCCACCCACTCGATGCTTTAAAATTCTCATCACCACCTAGCGCCTGCGAAAACTGTGTTGCTTTTTCTTGAAGCAGTGGTCCAATTATTGAAAAATTCGCAGCCCTGTTTACGAGAAACCATTTGACCATAGCAGTATTGAGTTCTTTATTACTTGCGGCACGTAGTTTTTTCGATTTATCGGAAACAAACCTGCTTCGAAAATCTTGTGTTTATTTTTGAACATAGTAGATAGGGTGGAACTTGAAATTCCTCTTTTACGACAAACTTCTGTTTTCTTCTTACCTTCTCAACATCTTTAACCGTATTAATTTTTTCTTCTAAAGATAATGCTTTTCTTTTAGGAATCATAGTGTGTAATCTATGTGACTATGTTATCTACAACACAACTTTTAAAATGCTAAAGCATAATCAGGAAACAAACGATAAACATATACGACAAAACAACTGTGAAATGAAATTCTGGTGAAATTTATTTTATTTGTCATGTTTTTAAGCCTCTTTACGTGGTTTATTAGGTGCGAATGGTCAAACCCCTACACTGACACTTGTGAATCATAAATTGTAAATTTCCGACAACACAATATCGGTCAGTAGATTAAACAGAAGAAGTTTATTGCGGGCGGCAGTTAAAAAGGGTATTTAATTATAGCCACAACTGGACCAAAAACGTAAAAAAACACGTTTTTGACCTTATTTTCTCTCGTTATAACCAAAATTATATAATATATAGCCTCGCTATAGAGGGTTATAGTTCAATACAAATTTCACGGAACATCTAATGTACCCTGATATAAGCGAAACCTCGTAATAACCATGTTCGTTATAGAGGGAGTATACTGTATTTGCAACTTAGTAGCATAGCGTGGATTAAAGATAGCTCCTTAAAATACTTATAAATATTGTTTGCGTTTTAGATTCTGTTAAAGGAGTAGTTCATATATTTTTTGATTTTTGGGGATCCCTCTTAAAAAATGCTAATGGTTTTATTCAAAGTTTACTGACTGCTAACGTCTTTAATCCGGCGTTTTCAACACTAGAAGGTAAGTGTGTTGTGATAATAATACTATTTAATAATGCCACTACAGAAAAGAAACACTACATTCTGTTATAAGACTAACTAGATTGGAAGATCTTTGGAGGTCTTCCAGGTGGTCACGATGTATTTTGTTTTTCATACCTTGCAATTTTTGCTAGCCTTCATTGACCATTCTACTGATAAGTGGTCTGTCCTCACTCTGCTACCTAGTCTAGCTTATCTTACGATATCCTGGATGCTGCATTGTTCTCTTATTCATGACTTGTTCGGCTTAAAAGTGTAACGACAATTGGATCTCATCGTTTTTTTTTCTATATTACCTGTACGGTTGTATACTGCTATCTGGTCAGAAATGAACATTTATCAGGTATTTTCTGATCTAACTTAATAAACAGGAAATACTTAAATGTAAGGGCTTACTCTATGGTTTACTCTTATTTTATATATCAACTAATGCACAACAACTAACATGCAATAACATCACAGCCCTATACTCTACTTTTTACACTAAACTGTTGGGCGTTTTCACTAAATCAAATGGATTTGTCCTTATAAGTCTTCTCTTTAGTTCAGTGTTCACATAACTATGTAGCCTCTGCTCGTGACTTGCAGCTGTTCCCTTGATTACTTTGGTCACAGTTTCCATACTCAGGTCCTGATGGAGGTTGCTGTTACGGATATACCCAGGAGCATCAACAATATACCTCAGTACTTTGTTTTGAAATCGCTGGATAATATGTAGATTACTAGCTTTGGTACAGTCCCAGAGTTGGCACCCATATACCCATACTGGCCTCAGTACTTGCTTGTAAATGTATAGTTTATTATGAATGGATAATGGATCTCATCAAGCTTATTTAAATTTTCCGTAGAAGCTTCTTAGTTGCGGCTGTTTCCGCTCTGGTCCAATCGCAAAGTACAATATTGCTCTTATGAAGATCTTTTTTATTATCTGTATTAAATTATGCTAATTTTCAGAAACAAAAAGGTAGTATTAGAAATCCCATTCCAACATACCCAATACCTTTTGTTGTTAATATTTTTAATACGCTATTTTATTAATTAGTTATTTTTTGTACGTAGATATTAGCCGTCTACTCACAATAATAGCTACTACCGTAGAAGAGTTTGCCGAATTCTATTCAAAGGCTCTTGATAAGTTAAAAGATGCTATCATAAATGCAGTAGTTCCTTCATATCCAGTGACAAAACTTGAAACCATAGGTAAGATATTACTAATTATTGCTTAATTACTTTAAGTTTTAAGTTCATGTACATTGAACAATTTAAATATTCACATATACGAGCCACTTCACATGTTAGTTGGCCCCACGTTAGATCTATATGAATTTAAAATTTTAGAGAATAAAAATAAAAACGCGGCGAACATTTTAGAAGTTTTAATGCATCAAACAGCATTTTAAAATTTTTATCAATATTTTTAATCAATATTTTTGTTTGATCTAACCAACGGCTTGGATATCTTCTCCGAGGTCTCTTAAATCTACCCTCGACTATCAGTTTATCCATCGTACCTCTGTTTCTAAAATATGCACATACCTCTGTTGTATTGGTTTAAGCAATCTATCCTTTACTTTAAGTTGTTCTAATATCGATACGTTAAGCCGCGTTTTCACGATGACAATTGGCGAGATAATTGTCATTGGACAATTGTCATCACGTGGTTGCGGATTGTCGGAGGCCAGTCCAGTTGAACGAGAAGATGTTTATACGGGGCCAACTATTGCCATGCCAGTAGACAGCTACAAATAACACAAACCACGTGTATGTTTTGACTGACACCAGAGCACTAGAGGCCGAGGAAACTGGCAAAAAACAAGACAACACTTGAACTTGAACCTATATTTGGGACCTCTCATTAAAAAACAACTTAATTTATTAAATTATGATACATATTGGAATGATCTTTGATATCAGCCTTATTATTAATAAAATGTTAGACTTTTTTATGTGAATCAATTCCAATATGCATTTTTTTATTTTAGTTTGGTTTTTTTTTACAAAATATATACATTTTTAAAATTAAAAAAAAATATTTTTTAGAGAATGCCTGGCTAAGGCTCTAATGTTAAATTTGGTTGTTTGTATACTGTGTTTGTGTGCAATAAACCTTCTATGTAGGTATTACCGTGTTTGCCCAATATATGTTGAATTGCAGTCTTTACAAAGTATAATACTCCTCAGAGTATTAAAAATATCATGCACTGATAGAATTACAAATAAAGAAGTACTGGAGAGGGTTGGCAAAGAAACAAAACTAATCAACACTATACAAACCAGAAAACTGGAATACCTAGGACACGTGATGAGTGGACCAAAATATAAAATTTTAAGACTCATAATACAGTGAAAGGTTCAAGGAAGAAGATCTGTTGGCCGAAGTCAGAAATCAAGGTTGGAGAATCTACATGATTGGTATTAAAGAGATCGATTGATTTGTTTAGAGCAGCAATCCGATCGACTAAGCATACGAAAGGTTTGTTTATGAAAATCCTGACATATCGACTTGTGCAGTAGATCTATAGATACAAATTAAGATTTTTTTATTCTGCTACATAAAAATTAAAGGAAAAATCATTCTTAAAGTATTAACATAGCTAAATTTATATTTCAGGAGACTTGTTTAAGGTTATTGTCGAAACATTTGAGAAGGGAATAACTACTTCAATTAATATTTGGGAAGAATTTTTGAAATCACTTTTATCTATAACACCTAATATTCCAGGTATTTAAATTTTATTTTTTACGATAATATATTATGAGTAGAGACTGGATTATATGCTCTTAAAAATGGTTAAAATATGCATGCAACATGCACTTAATTGATTATGTTACTTATTGATTGCAATAAAGAAAAGCATTCATTCCAGTTTAAAACTTCACTAAATTTATATTTAATTTTTTCCAATTGTCCCTGAAAGGTTTACTATTCTTTCTTTGACAAAATAAACAATGCAAATACTATCATTTAAAGATAATTTGACTCTCTAGCTTTATAATAGAGTTTACAATTATGTCAAAATTTGCTTTTCTTTAGGACAGTTCATTCTTAACAAAATTCTCACTAAAAATATTTTGACATTTTTGAACAGCAATACAACAGGAAGAATCAAAATTTGATATAACATTTTTGATATCAATATAATTATTTGCAAGAAATATGGCACTATTTAACCACGTTCCCCATCTAGTCAACACTGGTTCCGGTGGCAAAGGGATATCAGGAAATATCTCCCTATAGACTTCTACTCGCAGTGCTTTTATACTTTCTTTACATTGTTAATCAAAGGGTTTACATTTGGAAACTCAAGTCTAACTTCTTCTGCCACCCTGTTTAAACCATGCGCTAAGCATGTACAATGAATCAAATTCGGAAAAAAAATCTTAAGACTAGTAACAGCTTTAACCATGTAGGAAGCGGCATCGAAAACTAGTAGCAAAATTTTTTCAGAATGTACTTGATTCGGTAAAAAAAATTTGTCAAAGATTCATTAAAAAATCGAGCAATTGTTGCATAGTTGGTTTTTTCTAAACATTTTACGCTGATTAAATATAACTTATTGGAGTCATCAGCTGCACTGTTTAAAACTCCAATAATTAAATTCGCGATTTGGCAACCCTTGGCGTAAGCAGTCACGTCGACAGATATCATCTCTTACCCGACTTTTAATACCTTCAATAACGTCTTTGTAAGATGCCCTTACATATTTCTTGCAAAGATTTGAAGAACTTGTTACCTGTACTGACTTATTTTCAACTTTAAAATATGTTTTCTAAAAATTTTGATACACTTTGCTATCCAATTTATACAGTGGAATATTGCAACTTAACAAAAAAATTGCATACATTTTTTGAAAACATTTCTTGCCCCGTCGATATGTGATGATTTTGAATAATTTTGTTCTGAAGAAGAACTTAGATAGTTTATATTGGTGAAGAGCCGTTTTCAGGTGTTGGGAAATTTGGATTTTTTTTTCACATGGAATCTGTAATAAAACAGTTAAGTAAATAGGAGTCTATAGTGTATTTTTATGTATGAGAGAGTAATAAAACAATAAATTATGTATGCAAATCCCTAAACTGTTGATACGGGTGACTCAATGAAAAACAGATATTTGTCAACAAGTTTACAGAAGTATATAGGAAAACAATTTTAAATTGAGTATGACCACCAGGTATAAAGGTTGGAGCAGAATAGAATACAATAGTTGTGAGGGTTACTAATCCCTAAATAAGGTTGCCAGTGTCGGAGTGATGGAGGTTAACAGGTACTAATGAATTTGCAAGAAATGTAAGATGTTTATTTTATTGGTTATATATAACCAATAAAAGTTTAATAAGTACCTACCTATTTGCAAAATAAAGTTTAATTCTTTAGATAAAATAAAACGTTTTATTTTATCTGAAATGAGTGCATTCCACGAAGTAAGGGTTTCAACAATCAAACATTTAATTCTTTAATTCCAGGAATCTACGACAGTAATTGACTAGATAATTACCTTCTAAACTTATTCCACAGAAAATGTGATAGTGGGTTTTTCCATTTGTAGGAAGGTCCAAGTGGCGTATTCAAAATTCTTAACAGTTCACTAAAAGTAGGTACTTCAGTTGCAAGGTGCAGTTTATTGTGTATACTAGTGTTATGGAAAATTTGGAAGTGCCGTGTAAACGCCGAAAAATTGGTCCTTTAACAGTTAATGAAAAAACATTAATATTTAATTGTTTTAAATCATTTACAGACAAACGTTTATGTGAAAGTGTTGATGAGACCGTTGAGTTAGTTAGCAGTACACTTGGTGTTGGGAAATCTACGATTTACAGAGTTATTAAAGAAGAGAAATGTGGTAGTTTTCAAATGCCACGTAATGCTCCAGGGAAACCAAAATTTCAAATAGAATATCATTTTAAAGAAGGACTTCGACGGAAAGTGCATGAATTCTTCTATAGACAAGAATTTCCAACATTGGATAAAGTTCTTGTCTCAGTTCGAGATGATAAGGATTACCCAGAAATGAGTCGAAGTACGTTATGGAAACTTTTAAAAGAAATAGGCTTCCGCTGGAAAAAGAATCCCAGAAAGTCTATTTTATTAGAAAGAAGCGATATTGTCATATGGAGAAGACATTTTCTAAGAACCATAAAGGAAATGAGAAACCAAAAAAGAAAAATATTTTATCTTGATGAAACATGGATCAACGAGGGTCATACACCAAATAAATTTTGGCAGGATGAAACTGTTACAAGTCAAAGGCACGCTTTTGTAAATAACTTATCTACTGGTTTAAACCCACCATCAGGAAAGGGACGCAGGCTGATAATAGTACACATTTTCAGTTCAGACGGTTTTGTTGAAGGTGGTCAAAAGTTCAAAAGATAGAGTTCAAAAAATATTACGTACCACCTCGGATCTATAAGAAAGGAACTTTATTCGTTGTTTGCCCTTCATAAAGAAAAATTTAAAAAATACGAAATTGATGAAATTGCCAAAAATCGTGGAATGACAGTACTTAGATCCCCACCATATCATTGTGAATTAAACCCGATTGAACTGGTATGGGCACAGATAAAGAGTGAAGTTTCAAGAAAAAATACCACTTTTAAAATTCATGATGTTAAACAGTTGTTTTTGGAGGCCGTAAATAATGTAAAACCTGAAACTGGGAAAAGGCAGTAAATCACACTATTAAAGAAGAGGAAAAAATGTGGAAGCTGGACAATATTACTGATAAAATGATCGAGCCAGTTATTATAAATCTTGGTTCTGAAAGTTCATCTTCTGAATCTGATTTGGATTTGTAACAAGTAGCTGTAAGTTTTATATTAATATTTTTATTCATCTATTTAACATACCTTAGACGGTTTTAAAAACTCTTTTCCTCTTTTGTAATTTTTAAAAATTAAAAAAAATGTGAATTTTTTAAAATCCTTTTTAATGTAGGCCAATCAGTTCTAAAATAGTGACTTCATTGACTTCAAATTTTCAAGATAACTTTTATTTTTTTCTCGAAACTAAAACTACCGCCAATAGTCAAACTTCTTCTTCTTCTTTAAGTGCCGTCTCCTTTAAGAAGGTTGGCTATCATCACGGCTATCTTCACCTTTGACACTGCTGCTCTAAACAGCTCAACAGAGTTACAATTGTACCACTGCCTCAAATTGTTTAGCCAGGATACACGTCGTCGGCCTATGCTTCTTCTGCCCAG